TGTGTGTGTGTGTGTGTGTGTGTGTGTGTGTGTGTGTGTGTGTGTGTAAGATGATATAATGCTAAAAGTACAAAAAAATTAAGGCCTACAAGGCTTACATAAAACTTTATCTTATTGCAACTGATAACTGTCAACAACTCAAAATGAATCAGGTCTTCAAGCTGATGCTTACTAGAAAGGATTCAAGCTGATTTTACAGTAGTTACATGGCTACATTTTCAGCTGACCTATACTTGACTCCTGACTCAGTCAGGGAAAGAACTGTATTCCCTGGAGATCATATAAAAATATGCATAACCCATTAAATTCTGTTTTTCAGTCATGTGTGGTACAGTGATTGACAGCTCTTCCACAACAACACACATAGTCAACTCAAGCAAATTGAGTTTTGTTTTTAACAAAATATTTTCCTTACACGTCAGCCTGACTGAAAGGTGTGTTTATTTCTGATCCTGACGGTACAATTTACAAAACACCTGGAAGTTATATAACAGGAGAACTAGTACAAGTATATCAAATTAAAAACACAATTACAGTTTATTTTTTAATAGAGTCTTTCATAAAATTAACATCACTAGACACCTCAAGGTCTAAAATAGTGATTTTTAGATAGACACACAAAAATATACAATTTTACAAAAGAGATTAAAGCAGGATTACAAAAACTATCTAGATAAAGGCAAGGTGAGGGTAGTGAGAGAGAAGAGAGGCAATTTTCAGGGAGGAGACATTGTGCAGAGTTGGTGCAGGACAAGAAACAAGACTGCTCTTTGACCTAAACTTTCCCCATGCCTAGCCTGAGACACTGCATCTTGATGCATGGAGGTTCTGTTAAGGCTTAGAAGGCTTGCCCCACAATTCAGAGGAAGCAGTAGATCAGTTTGCTGGCTGCAGAGCTGGTCAAAGAAAAAGTGACAGAACTATATTCTGTAGAAATAGGCAGCTCTAAATAGATCCAAACATTTTGCGAAACTGGGCTGATTTTGTCAGAATTTTATTTCAGAAAAAAATGGAGGAAAAATTTCTGAGGCATTCTGACATTTTCCGAATGAAATGCTTTTTTTTGTTTTGAAACTACTTTTATATGGACTATTTACATTTTGTATTACTACTATAATATAATCAAAGTTTAAAAAGTTGAAACTGAAACAAAACATTTCAATGAAATGAATCGGGCGGCCGGGAGTGGAGGGGGAAAAGAGGGGTATTTTCCTTTCTGGAGAACTTCTGTTTTTCAGTTTTTGTTCTAATTCGGAATGAAGACAAATTTCAAAAATCTCAAAATCCTTCGGGAAACAGAACTTCTGTCTTTGGCATAGTTCTGTGTACTACTGCTCCCAAAGGCAGGTGGTCCTGTGAGGAGGTGGATCTGCCAGGCCCATGCAATAGAGCAGGGGTTCTCAACCTTCTTCTTTCTGAGTGCGCCCGCTTCCCCCCCGCCCCCCCAACATGCTATAAAAACTCCACGGCCCACCTGTGTCACAACTGTTTTTTTGCATATAAAAGCCGGGGCCGGCATCAGGGAGTAGCAAGCTGGGCAATTGCCTGGGGCTCCATGCCACAGAGGGTCCCGTGAAGCTATATTGACCAGGCTTCGGCTTCAGCCCCAGGTGGCAGGGTTCAGGTCCCCGGCTTCAGCCCCATGCGGCAGGGCTTTGGCTTTCTGCCCTGGGCCCTAGGCTTGGTGGCTTCCCTGAAACCTGCTCGCAGCCCCCCAGGGGACCCCGGACTCCTGGTTGAGAACCACTGCAATAGAGTTCACTGCACAACTGGACTCACCGTTGAACAGTGAGTCTCCTCTGTACAAATCCCCTATCTCAGCACAATTACATTGGTTACACTGACTGGGACCTGTGCAGTTTTAGAAGAGGAGACAGGATTTGACTCTCAAAATATCTACACTTTGCTCTGAGCTTTAATGAAATGCACCACAAAATGTGCAGCTACTAAAATCTAAAAGCTACTAACAGCTTATGAAAAACACTCTATTTAAAATTCTGATTCGCTGCCACATTTTTTGCCTGTATGTGTGCGCACACGCACAGAGGGGATTCTTCCTTCATTCTTTATCACTATTGACATTTGTATGAAAACTGTCTATACATTTTCATCTTCTCCATCTATTTATATCCTATCTGCCATTTGTGACATCACAACTTGCTGTTGGAAAAACTATTTGTGATGGTGTCACATTAAATGTGATAAGTTATCAGATTTCCCAGCTGTAGTTAAGAAAACTGTCAGCCTGCACATGAGTAATATGACCTCCTACCAGCAGGTGGAGACATGAAAATTGGAAATTCCAATGACATTTGTACTATCAATCAACTAAGAACATTAGTTCTGGTGGAGGAATCTAGATTAAGAAACTTTCCCAGCAGTAAAGAACTTCACTAAAGGAAATTAAAAAACTAATTACATCATTTTTTTAAAAAGTGTAATAAGAAAACCATGAGAAATAGATCGAAAAGGAACGATAAGTGAATACTACTAACAACACTGTGCTCAGATTAAGTTAAGACATGCAAGGATAGGCATGCTGAAACTAGATGGAAGTAATGGTATAGTCTCAGAGCTGCGAAGACTAAGCATACTGGTCTGACACTTTCATCCTCAGACACTAGGTAGATGTTCATTTGAACTAGTTTAAATTAGGAAAAACTAAGTTAAAGGTAACCACAGTACGCTCTCTTCTTTGTCTTTTGGGTCAGCTTAAATATTGGGAACGCTAAATGCAGTACCCCAAATCGATCCATGGGGTATAGGAAGCATCTGAGAAGGAAAACCTCTGAAAATCTCCCACCCCTGCCAAAAGCAGTGAGACAGCAAACGCTGGACATTAAGCCTGTTATGGTGAGAAGTACAGAAGGATGCCGATGTGGCTGTCCAGCATTGCCCAAGGGGAGAAACCTCCCCTTTGGGTCAAGAATTAGGCTAATGCCAATGGCTGAATGCCTCAGAACTCTAAGAGTAGGGGCTCTGCCTTTAGCTACTCAGGCTTCTTGATTCACTCCCTCACGCATCCATCCATTTACAGAGGCTGCAGCACCCTTCTTCCTGTCCCTCTATCGAATTAAAAGATTTCCAGTCTGTCTAGCCTCAAGGATGGTTTAGATAGATTCTGAGAACCAGAGTGTGGGGTAGTCACACACTGACTTCCTCTTTTTTCTTCAGTGGAAACAGACTGACACCAAACTAAGTGTTTTTCTAACTCGTGTCCTGACTCCTATCCCGCTAGCTTGCAAAATGTTTAACTGGGTTAAGCCATAGCTGCTTCATGTTTTAGCACTGTCAGGTGACCAGCAGGGACAGTAAGACCAAAAGTGAATTCCATAAGTGAGGTCACTTTAGACAGCATTCCAACACCAAATGCCAGAGCAGTGTAAATTGTAAATCTTATCGTCATCTGGACATTGACTCTAAGGGCCAAATTCATTACTGCTGTAACTCAACTAAAAACATGAAAATGGCCATAAAGCTGCCACTCTAAGTGGCCCAGTAGCTAGAATGCTAGCTTGACATTTGAGAGACCCAGGTTCAATTCCCTGATCCTTGACAGACTTCCTTTGTGACCTTGGGCAAGTTACAACCTTTCTGTGCCTTAGTTCTGCACCTGTAAAATGGGGATAATAGCACTTCTCTACCTCACAGAGGTATTGTGAGGAAAAATACACTGAAGATTGTGACGTGCTCAGATACTACAGGGACCATATAAGTACCTAAGATAGATATCTCTGGAGTAGCATCTGTTTACAGCTCATCTGAATTTTGCCCTACATGCCTTCAGATAATTGGTTTCCATCCTGGCACAACCTAAGACATAACATAGGCTCACGAAGCACTGGAGCCACCTGCCAGCTATGCAGGACTTGGAGAAATATGGATTGTAAATGAAAGACCCAGGACTAATCAGCAAGTCTCTGCAACAGAAACCTGGAGATAAATGTGGACAGGAAGGTGCACACTTCACAGAGGAAGTCCAAACCCAACGGGCCAATCCCTGCCTTGACTTACATCCTGTGAAGCCCTGTTGACTATGATGCACCTCCACAGAATATAAGTCAGCACAAAATTTGGCCCACAGTATCTAAACTTTTAAAAAAAAAAAAAAAAAGTATCTTTCTTATGAAATCAATTCTAAAAAATACCCATTCAATCTTATTGCACAAAGGAGAAAATAAAGAAGGACGAGATACAAGATGGGAAGGCTCAGCCTCTCAACACATTTTGAGAATAACTATACACCATAAAAAGCTGCCAAAAGAAGCTCTTCACATATCCACAGGATTTCACCACATACACTACTCAGTTTCTATGTATGTTTTAATAAATAAGTAACTTGCTCTTACCAATGCCTATTCTCATACTAAAATAGTGTTATATGCTGTCCAAATTCAAAAGACAATGGACCTGATTCCCACCATTGCAAATCAGAGTGGAGTCACTGAAATCAATGATGTTACATCACAATAAAACCAACATAACCAGGGCCAAAGATACCGCCTAATGCAGGAAGATGTGTCTTAAGGAACAGTCAGCCATTACACAGCTACCACGTGAAGCTTTAGTTAAGGTGTAAGTCAAGTTCTTCTAAACTTCATTTTTTACCCACTCAACTTTCTCAATCATGTTTCTTTTGGACTGAAACTTCCCACAAAACATGGGTTCCAAACAGAGATGTCACTATGCTAAACTGATGGAAGGATCTGATTATCATGTATTTTAATAATCTCTTTTTTAATACATCCAAATACTGAAACTATATATACACATATTGTCTACACAACAGGGATGCTACCAAGAAATAAATTCAATTATACATATAAAGAATGAAAAAGAAACAAATCCTGAAGTCTATTTCCAGTTTGTCTTACTAAGGACTATGTAAAAACCTTAGGATTTGGCCCAAAATTTGCACAGTTAAATTAATATATATTGTACTTTGGTCCTTAACAACTAGTCCTTTCTCAACAACAACAACAAAAGAACATTAGTCTACTGGCTCTGCCACAAGTGGGAGTTTTAACATTTTTGATGTGATGCCCAAATGTGGAAATTATCAGCTACCCACTCAAAGGTAAAGTAATACACATTTATTTTCATAAGCAAAGAAGAAAGCTTTCTTTCAGATCATGTAGATTTCTTCCCAGCGAGGATGAATGTAAATCACAGTACAAACTATAGGCAGTGTGCTGTCCTCAGTTTTCATTAAACCAGACTACGTTTGCCAAAGTTCCGTTTACTGATAAGATCAGGCCAACACAAAGAATAACATGATTCTAATAAACAGACTCTAAATGACAAATTGCTTGAGCTAAAAATATGTTCAATTACAACCGACAGATGGCCTTCCCTGGGTCACCCTTACCTCACGTAATTCCAGCCTCTGGGCCACAGCCTCCAGACACTCCTGCCCTGTGCTCTCCACTGAGAGCGTGCACTCGATCACATTGTTGTCCAGCAGACGGATTTGTGTCACAAAGCAGTTCTTGCTGAGGACATTATAGCGCCTGGTCCGTCGCAATTTCAGCCCGAAAGGCATAGTTGTTGGGCTGGAAGGCTGCCCCTTCCTGTCACACTTTGGATATCCTCAGCACGTTTTTTGGTTTTCCTTGAATGCCACTCCACTAGTTACTACTCTCCTCCAGGACTGGAAATAGTTGTCCATGCCCAGGGCCAACTCCAAGGGATCCCTGTAACACATAAATACGAAGCATAGTTAACAATATGAATTAGGATAAGATGTTACTAAAGATCAGTGAAAATGAATGAATCTTAACGGGTTTGAACTCAAAGAAAGATTTACACTTGACAAGTAAAATAGATTCCAAAGCACATTCTACAGCTCCCCAAAACCAAACAAAATATACAACAAAATCTTTTAAAACTATATTCCAGCACTGAATTTTAAATGCAACTTTAATGTCGTAGACAATCTTTAAGGAATTCCCCAGAAGCAGCTGCTGTATAGGTAGGGTTGGAAGAATTAGATTTTTGTCAGAAATTGTCAGTAAACATTGATTTCCCCATGCATACGCACACTGACAAAAAATACATACGTTTCCATCAATAATCAAAATTTACAGATAGACAAACTAAGCCAAACGCTGCTTGAGAACATAGAGTAAGACATGGAGAACATGCTTCAGAGTTTGATTTAAGGATATTTACTTTCTATATTTTTTTTGACATGTGATTTGACAGTTTGTGTTTTAATGGTTATAAAGCTTAAATTTTTTGGAATCTCAATGTCTAATGTCATTAAATTATTTGTCTGGACCTTCCCAGTGTCTGACGTCTCCTCCCCGCTAATTTCCTAAAACTGTGAACATTTAAATAGATAAAAATTGAAACAGTGCTTAAAAATAAACATTGATATTATCCATCAACATTATTTTTTTTTAAATTGAATTCTCCCAAGCCCCATTCAGAGGTGCTAACTCTCCCACAATTAACCTCCACTAAAGGACCTATAACCTAGCCTTATTCTAAACCTTTGGTGCCCCCAGGCCAGCCCTGAATACTGGCTTGAAGTGCTATGTAACTGAACTATTCAAAAGAGGCCTGATTTTCAGAGATGCTGAAGTCAGCAGGAGCTGCCGGTGTTCAGCACCACTGAAAATCTGGCACAAAGTGGATTGAATGCATGTGAAAGGGAAGAAGTGTCAGAAACATTAGAGAAACCTCCTGTGGGGCAATTCCTGCCATTCTACTAATTTCAGCTCCATAACAGTTACATGTCCCACTCTGAGCTAGGCTAAATAAGGACAATCCCAGCTGACAAAGAAGGTAAAGCCAAATGGGAGGAGAAGAGCACATATTTTAGATACTATTTTTTAATTTAAACTATTCTTCTTAACAGTCATACACATCCCTGACAAGATTTGTCTTCTTGGGCTAAAACATAATGGAGTTAGAAAAGGGGAGACAGACTTTTCAAAAAATATAATGAAGTGATTATTTAATTTGGAGGGCTAGAGCTTATTTCCGTTTAGCTAAAGTCAATTAGGAAGTGGTTTAAGACAAAGCAAAAGAAGCCTCTCAAACCAAAATAAGGGGTTTGCTCTGGTATTACTAAACTAGTTTAAACCCAGTTTAATTTAAAAAGGTGCAACTTTCTCCTGGGCCTAAATACTAAAAATGAAAAGGCTTGGTAGCAAAATCCCCCTGGGTTCTTTTTTGGTGAGTGCGTTTTGGGGGGCTGCACTTACAGCTAAAAAAGTCATTTGCTTTTAACAAGTATTGTAGAAAGATGAATAGTGAATAAGAACCAGCTATCATTTTCATTCTGCTGAAGAGCAGTAACAAATTGCTTTCATCAAATTATGCATCATTTAGCTAAATGTAGTGAAATTTTAAATTAATAGTACATTGCCCACATGTAACATTTGACATGAAACTGCAGTCATCAGTTATTTTCAGTTTTTACTAAGTTGCTATGGTGATTATTAGAAAGACGTAAGTGATAACCACAGCTCAGCAATGCAACCACCATACAGTTGGTTAAAGTTATTTTTCAAACCACTTTACATCTTGACATTTACTAGCAGCTAAAAATAGCTGCTGTTATCCAGCTTTCATAATTGCCCAGGCAGTATGATAACTTTACCATGAAACACACAGAACTTACAGTATACATCAGTAGGCATCTCTAAGTAACCATCTTACTTACAATTATAAGTAATGTCTGCGTGCACACACACACACACACACGTGTGCATTATATTCACATTACTGTGTATTAGTGTATTTATACGCCCTCACATAATCAGAACATCTGAACACTTCAAACAGAAAATTTATCCTCATACTGCTCCCCTGCCTCATAAGGGTGTTATCATCTACATTTTACAGATGGAGAATGGAGACAAAGAGATTAAAATGACTTGCCCAAGATGATTTAGGAACTCTGTAGAAGATCCGAGATTTGAATCTGTATCTGGAGTTCAATCCAATGCCTTAACACTCAAATCTTGTGAGCTGAGAGTTATTTTTCCCATTAATATACCCAAAATAATAGTATGAAGCTAAAAATTAGAAGAAAAAAAAGAAATCACAGACACAACCTAGGCATGATAGACCCATGTCTTATCAAATATTTTTGTTTGGTCTCTGATTTTGTTCTCATTAGCCAACTTTAGAGAGCCCTTATCCTGAAGTTAGTATATTCATTTAGTAATTTTTTTTTTTTTTAAATAGGCCTTAGCTACACAAGGAAATTTACTGAAATAGCTATGGTAGAATAAACTAATCCAGAATAGCTCCCCATGTGGATACACTCTTCTGGAATAAAAATTACTTTTATTCTGGAATAGTTCCACTCGCAAAGCAGAGTTGGTATTCCAGCATAAAAGTGACTTTTATTCCTGAAGAGAGTGTCCATCTGGGGAGCTATTCGGGAATAGCTTATTTCACAATAGTTATTCCAGTCAATCTACCTGTAAAGACAAACATTATTTTCACTTTATTATTATTATTAAGCAGTCACAAAGAGGAAGAACAAAAATTCAATTTTAATATGATAATAGGTGCTCATAAAAGAGTGGTGGATCAGTATAAAAAAATTAGAGAGGTAAAGCAATGTAGGCCTTATATGGATGAGACAGAATTTGGAAGTCAGGAGATATGGGTTCAATTCCTGGCTTTACCACGGGCTTTGAAAGTCCTTTGAGCTCCACAAATGGAAAGTGCAATAGAAGTGCAAATATAGTGCAAGTACAGTGAGATTTTCCATGGGGCCTAAGGGAGTCAGATGTCCAACTGGACATCCAGCGCCCTTAAGCTTCTTTGAATGTTCCAGCCTTACTATATAATAATTGCATGTTACAAACATTTTAATCATTATATAATAAATCCTGGTTCTAAAACAACACTTGCCAGGGCTCTCGGAGTATTATCTGCATAACAATTTACAATAAGAAGAATTTAATACTATATAAACACACACACTTAAAACACAGCACAAAACCGCTCTCCTAAAACTAGATATTGCCGGGCGGGAGAGGAGGAAATATTATTTGTTTAACTATATTTAAATAAACACACGTAAAAACACCTATCCATTCCACGCATCATTGCATTCCGTTACAAATACAATGCATAAACATTACAAATAAGACTTCAAAAATACACTCACCCACTTATCCAGGCACTGCCACCTCTATCCTCCCATAATGCTTACTCAAGAAAATGGGCTTTGCAGCACTGCCTGAGTACCAGGCTATTTAAGACCAAGATGAACAGTGAATTTCAAAGTTACGGGGCTGTTACAGGGACCATCCTGCAAGCCGCTCCCTCTCTTATATACCAAGGGAGCTCCAGCTTGAGAGCTTCTTCAGATTTAAACTGCAGCAGTAAGGCACAAGGCGAGAGGCAATCTCTCAAGCTGGATGGTCCCAGCCGATTAGGCCTTTATAGGTCGGAATCAACATCCTCACGTCCACCCAGAAGTCAACAGACACCCAGTGCAGCTCATAGCATTAATTAGAACCACCGCCATCCTCTCTCATCCTATCAATGGAGATTAGCTTGCACTCTTTTAAAAAAAGAAGTACACAGACTTTGTGAAGTGCTGTTTTCACTATATTTTCATATTAATCAATAGTTGACTAAGCATGGATTCCCTATGGCACCTTTCTTTTATATTAATTTATTTTATTAATTTTAACAAACCAAATTATTTGCCAAATAAAGACTAAACTCAAAAAATAAATCTATCAGTTTTACTCCACCCCCCCCCCCCCCCCCCGCATCGCCCGCTTCCCAGAGAGCTTATGCTGAGCCAGCCAGAACCATTTTATGACAAAATCAGTGATATCAACCGAGGAAAATCTTTACCCTTGATTCTGTGCACAATACTAGTATTCCTGTTTGGTCACATATCAAGAGGTGAGGCAAATCTGCTCTTTGGCTTTCATCACTGTCTTAAGATGACATTTTGCAGGTTTAAATAAAACTTTCTGAATAAGATATAACACAGAGACCCTGGTCACTTTTGGTCCTTAAAAGTGATCTTCAAATACAGGGTGAGGGATAGAGGAATTGTGCTTTTGCCTCACTTCCTTCATTAGGATGTATAAGAAAGGCCTGAAAGATTCTATTTTCCTCTCTCTTCTCCTGCTCCCCCCACCCCCCACCCCCACCCCTGGTCCATATCCCTAGAAGTACCAGGAATATCCATTCTTGTCTACCCATATTTCCTAGAGAAGTCTGGGGAGTAAAGAACTGCAGGAAGAATTTTCTCCAGCCTCAATTAAAAGGACAGGAGTGCTAAATTTTTTCACAAAGAGAGCTTTTCTCCCAAAAGGTTGTCAGAAGCTGGGATTAAATAAACAAAAATCTACAGCATTTTTAAACAGTTTAACTAAAGACATCTTTTCCTTCTCAATTATTATTATTTGTATTGTGGTCATGCCTAGAGGACCCCAGGTGCTAGGTATTATACACACAGAGAATGAAAAGACTATCCCTGCCCAATATTTCAGTCTAGGGTTGCCAACTGTCTAATCTCACAAACCCAAACACCCTTGCCCCACCCCCACTTCTTCCCTGAGGCCCCTCCCCTCCCCATCCCTTCCCCAAAGCCCAGCCCCACTCACTCCATCCCCCCCTCCCTCTATCGCTCGCTCTCATCCACCCTCACTCACTTTCACCAGGCAAGGGTAGAGGTTGGGGTGTAGGAGGGGGCTCAGGG